GGCGCCCCCGGCGCGGCCCGCGGCCAGGGCGAGGCACCCCGTGAGCGCGAGCGCGGCCCCGCAGGCGCCGCCCTCGGGTGGCCCGGAGCCAGGGCCACGCGGGTAACGGAGCCCCGCCGCAGATCCAGAGTTCCAGCTCTGGCCTGGGTTTCCCGGTTTGTGGGACCTGGCACTCCCCGGCCTAGCTCTTCCAGACCCCAAGGAAGAGAGGCCGGCGTGGGGAGTGAATCAGTTTGACTCTCAAGAGGCCCAACTGTCCCCATCTTGGGAGCCGGGAGAGACCGGTCACCGGTGTCCGAAAGGCCACCCTACACAAGAAGGAAGGCTACTGAGGGCTCATCCAACTCAGTACTGCCTGCCACAGCAACTGATAGGGACTCTCCGGGTGACAGGGAGGAGGGGGCACACCTGGACACCCAGAAGGGGGAGACTCAGTCAGCCAGACCTTGCTGTGGACTCAGATGGGTGAGGCTTGGGGGCGGTTCCTTTTGGTGTCCCGGAATTGAAGAGTCAAGGTGGTTCCTGCCTCTTATCCATCCTCAGTCCTCCCCCCCTTCGGCCTGCCCCAGCAGTTCCTGCGCAGGGCCCCTCCCTCATCCCAGAAGCCCGAATTGATAGTAACCCTTTTGTGAATTTACCTTCGTGTGTCTGGTATTTTTAACCAGGGGGCATTTTTTGTTTTTCATACAAGGGTCAGAGTTCACCGGGAGTGTAAACAAGAGGGTAGATTCAGTAGTCCACGCTATCTGTCGCCCAGGATGGAGTCGTCGCTAAACACCAAGTTCCTTCCCTGGCTCCTGGGGCTGATCTAGGAAGCACGCCCCGCTCCCGCAGAACTCACTCTCCTCTCAGCAACCGCCCCATACTCATCAGACGGGGATGGGGAGTGGGGGCTCTGTTCGGCGCCCTTTCTGCTGCACCGCTGACCCAGCTCAGAGCGCCTACGGGGCGCTAAGTCAGAGGCCCGGCAGCAGTTCTGTTCCGTTCCAGCTGTATCCCTGACCCTGAGGGTTGCCCTCAGAGGCTGAGAGTCACACAAATATCCATCGCTCACCCAGCAAACCTTCACCCCAGGCCCCCAACTCCTCCTCTTCTACTTCCCCCATCCCGTTGCTGCACAGGTCTGGGCAGTGAGAGCCAGCAGGGCGCCCTCTTGTGGAACACATAGCAATTCCTGACTGTTCTCTAGTGACCCGTCTCACTTGGGTGCTCTTCCTGGAAGCCTCTGTTGGAGACAGCTCCTACCTGTGGTGAGCCCTGTTTCTATGCAGTGCCCAGTCCCGCCTCCCTTCTTTGTGTCTCTATCTTCCCCTGTGCCCCGAGTGGGGCCGGGGAATAGGCGACTCCTTCTTCTGGGTCTACACTTTAGCAATACCTCTCTTGGGCCTCCTAGACAGAACCACAAGGTGAGACACAAGCAAGTCTGCCTTACTGAGACTTGCCGCTGACATGCTCTCCAACAAAAACTGAAGTCCCTGACCCTCTTCCCCAGGCACAGAGGTCTTCCTCTCTCTCATCTCTTGTAGCTGCTGGCAACTTGGTAGGACTCAAGTGCCTGAGCCCTATCCTGAGCTAAGAGGTCCAGGCATCCACTGCATAGTGGGACCTTGAGACAGCTCCCAGGTTAGATGGCACCCTAAATCTGGGGAGGGTCTGCCTGTACCAGATGGACTGTGGCTTTGTGATAGCCTCTGCCATGTATGTGCCACAGAGCACTGCCCAGTATAGAGGGATCTTGGACTGGCAGGAATCAGGGTTCTCAGCACAGATGGTGGACCAGCCTGAGGAATGTGGAGTGACCGTCAGGTGTGGCTGGTCCTGCAGGCGGCAGTTTCTCTTTCTCTGTACCTCGCAAGCTGCTCTGTGTAGGGTAAGCCAGGGGCTAGGCTTTAGAGGTACTGCTAGACGCCCAACATGGAAGAAGAGGGAAAGAGGGGCTGGTTGGTGTCAGTGTTCAACTTTCAGCCATCAGTTGCTAAAGAGCCATTCTGTGGCAGGCTAAGGCTCAACCAGTGCACACAGAAGCCGTGGCCCTGATAAAGGAACAGGGATGCACCCCGTCGGACAATCTTTGACTCTCTACAGTGCTCCAAGCATGAGTAGAGAACGGGTTGCAGGTCAAGAGGGATCAGAGAGGAAACTCTCTCAAGCAAAGACAGGAATGAAGAGGAGACAGTGATAGGGACTTGTGGGAAGAACATCCCAGTACTAAAGGCATGTCACTTACGGTATGCCCCAAAGTTAATTTTCATAGGTCCCTAGAATGTGCTGATTCCCACGTAGCTAGTCCCCACTAGCAAAGGTATTATTAAGGGGATAGGGAAGTGGTTCTCAACCTATGGGTCACGACCCTTTGGGGATCAAATGACCCTTTCACAGGGGTCACCTAAGATCATTGGAAAAGCAGATATTCACATGATGATTCATAAAAGTAGTAAAATTTATGAAGTAGAAACAAAAATATTTTTATAGTTAGGAGTCACCACAACAGGAGGAACTGTCTTAAAGGATGGAGGCATTAGGAAAGTTGAGAACCCCTGATATTGTGGCTCAGAGTCCTGCTAACTCTGGGAAGGGCTGAGGCAGAAGCAGGCTCCAGCCCTGGCAGGCTCGGAGAGGGACAGTAGGATCTGGGCTTACCCGGAACATAGAACATTCCTGCAGAGTTAGAGTGGGGGTAATTGCTTGTATTGTCAGAGGGAGCTTCCCCCCCCGCCCCGCAGGCTCCAATGTTGGGGACAGCCAAGCTCTGTCCCTCAGGTGTGCAGTACCTGGATCAATGTAGGGTGACTCTAGGCTCCTTGCTGCAGTTGCCAGATGTAGGAAATACTTCCTATTTCTAGTCAAATGTGCATTTCAGATACACATTTTTTTTTTCTAGGACAGAAGTTGAGACCGGGCCATGTCACGCAAGCTGGTCTCGAACTTGAAATACCCCTGCTTTAGCCTCCTGTTTAGTATAACACTGTGGTTCTCTCCCCTGTAGTATCTAGGTCCTCCAGGAACCCTGGGAGCCTCTTAGGCTTCTAATCCAACTTTGAACGGGTCCCCCAGAGCTGTCCCCAACAGTCAGAAAGCCCCACTTCTCATTGAACGGGTCCCCCGGAGCTGTCCCCAACAGTCAGAAAGCCCCACTTCTGTTCTGAGACTCCAAAGAGCAAGCGGAGGGACTCAGCAGGCCCCTCACCCAGAATGCCCTTGGCTTGTCTAGCCAAACACCTGGCCTTTGCCCTTTTCCTGTAATCCCTGTACAAGATTTCCTTCCTACTTACCCTCTAGCCTCCCGTGTGGTGCCCACCCAACATTCTTGGTCTCTGGATAACAAATACAAGATGAAAATTCAGAACGGGCCTAGCCCCATAGGAACCCTGGCCCTGAAATTTGGTGCTATGTAGTCCCCCAACCCCTCCCCCCGAACTGTAAATGAGAGCATCTAACCGACAGGCTTATGAAGCTCATGTGAGCAATGTCCCAAACAACTTCAAACGCCCTCTGTTAAGAATACCCCTCCACGCCGGGCGGTTGTGGCACACGCCCTTAATCCCAGCACTTGGGAGGCAGAGCAGGCGGATTTCTGAGTTCGAGGCCAGCCTGGTCTACAGAGTGAGTTCCAGGACAGCCAGGACTATACAGAGAAACCCTGTCTCGAAAAAAAAAAAAAAGGAAACAGAACGAGAGAAAAAAAAAAAAAGAATACCCCTCCACCTGCACTCTTGGGAGAGAAGACTCCCAGCCATCGGTGTAGCCCATGCCAAGGGGCCGCAAATCCTCTAAACCCAGAGCTATTTTGTTGTCATTTCCTTTCCCCAGAAGAAGTAGGTGTCTCCTCACACCTTGCTGACCCTGTTTACCCTGGAACACTGTGCCCAGGGTGCTTGCCCTGGCTTCTCTCCTGCACCTTGTGACCTGTCTGCCTAACTCGGGAGGTCTCCTGTCACTTCTTTGTGGTTGTGTCTTTAACCCATCCCACCACATCTGCCCTATCCAGTGCCCTCTGTCACTGATCTTAGCATGCTTGGCTGCCAGCCCAGGGTCTGCAGAAGGCGGTAATCTGTTGTCAGAGACCCCAACCCCATGGCCTGTCCCAGATGTGTTAGCCTGAATTCAAGAGAATGGATGCTTCCTAGGACGAAGTGAATTTCTTTTTTGACATTTGCGGTCCCCCTGCGGCCCCTGACCCATCTGAAAGACGGTCTTCCAACGAGTCCGAGGCCATTGTCCCGGCTACGCCGTCAGTGACTGCCGGTGCATTGGTCCAGGGAGAAGCGACTGCCCCTTTGTCCACCGGGGCAGTCGGGACCCCATGGAGGGCACAGAGGCCCAGGAGACAAGTATCGCGAGAGGGTCCCGTACCCCCTCCCGCCACAGAGTGCGGCGGGCTAGCTTCTAGCGGGGCCGACCGGGTGGGGCGGACAGAGAAGGGGTAGCGAGGTGACCTCAGCGGTTCCGCCGCTCCGGGAAGTCGCCTGGCCCGCCCCCTCCAGCTCCAGCCGGGAGTTTCGCTCTTCGGGGCGGGGCAAACAGCAGGCGTTGCCCCGCCGGCCAAGTTAGTGCGCGCCCCGCCTGGCGCCGTCCGGGTCCCCGCGCCCTCCCGGCCGGGGCGCGCCGCCGGTAGCTCGGTGCGGTCCGAGCTGCACCGGAAAGCTTGCAGAAGGAGCGGAGAGCCGCGCGTGCGGCGGAGGTGAGCACAGGGGCGGGTTCTCCGCTCCGCCTGCCTAGCCGGCCGCTCCCCACGGCCGCGCTGCCATAAATGGGGCCGACGGCAGCGGTGGCAGCTGGCGGCGGCGCGGGCGGGCGGCGACTCCGGCGTCGGGGGGCGCGGCAGGCGGGAGGGGGGTGGCGGGCGAGGCAGCCCGAAGTCCTGACTTCTGTCCGCGCGGCTCGGCCCCTCCGCTGCACCCCGAGCCCCGCCCCGGCGGCAGAGCGGCTTCTGTTTACTTTCGATCGAGTTTTTCCTGCTCCGGGCAGGTGCCGGGGCAGCTCAGGGCTGGCGGTTGCGCGCGTCACTCCCGCGCCTCTCTGTGGGCTGCCTGCACCCGGGAAGGGCGCGTCGGGGCGAGCGGCGGCCACGGCATCCCCGGCGTGTTGACAGGCGTCCCGTTTGTGCCCAGGTGATGACTGCGGCGGCATGGAGTTCCCGGAGCACGGCGTCCGGCTGCTGGGTCGCCTGAGGCAGCAGCGCGAGCTGGGGTTCCTGTGCGACTGCACTGTCCTGGTGGGCGACGCGCGCTTCCCTGCGCACCGCGCTGTACTGGCCGCGTGCAGTGTCTACTTCCATCTCTTCTACAGGGACCAGCCCGCGAGCAGCCGCGACACAGTGCGGCTCAACGGCGACATCGTCACGGTACCTGCCTTCAGCCGCCTGCTGGACTTCATGTACGAGGGCCGGCTGGACCTGCACAGCCTACCTGTCGAGGACGTCCTGGCTGCTGCCAGCTACCTACACATGTATGACATCGTCAAGGTCTGCAAGGGCAGACTCAGAAAGAAGGACCCAGATCTGGAGACCCGTACGCTGGGGACAGAGCTTCCTGGGCAGCCACCACACCCCCTGCCTTCCTGGTCCCCTGCTTTCTGCCAAGCCGCACCAAAGGCCAAACCCCCATCTGTAGGGGTCAAGGCTGCCCATCCCCTGCCAACATTTGGACCTCCATCTTGGCAGGTCTCAGAGGAGTCAAGTGGGGCCCTGGACCTGTCACTGAAGCCTGGCTCAAGACAGGAGCAGGTCCACCCACCCTGCCTCCTCCAGACATCACTCTGCAGCTCCATACAGCAAGGGGCCCAGCCTCTGGTGAAGGCTGAGCAAGATTCGTTTTCTGAACAAGATAGCAGCAGCCCGCAGAGCGTGGACAGATCCCCACCACCAGTCTGTGCTTCTGCAGCCCAGGGCCTGGCAGTGAACTTGGAGCCACTGTGCATCCAAGGGACAGGCAGCCAGCAGCTTGGGCTGCATGCAGAGCCAGTGGTGGACACTGAAGAGCTGGGTCCCAGCAAGCACCTTTGCATTTGCCCGCTGTGCTGCAAGCTGTTCCCTAGCACCCATGCACTGCAGCTACATCTCAGTGCCCACTTCCGAGAGCGGGACAGTGTCCGTACCAGGCTCTCCCCTGAGGGGGCCGTGCCCACGTGCCCGCTCTGCAGCAAGACCTTCTCCTGCACGTACACGCTGAAGAGGCATGAACGGACGCACTCTGGGGAGAAGCCCTACACGTGCATGCAGTGTGGCAAGAGCTTCCAGTACTCACACAACCTAAGCCGGCACGCGGTGGTCCACACGCGGGAGAAGCCCCATGCCTGCCGCTGGTGTGAGCGCCGGTTCACACAGTCTGGTGACCTGTATCGCCACGTCCGCAAGTTCCACTATGGCCTCGTCAAGCCCTTGCTGGTGTGAAGTGTTTTTTTTTTTCTGTGTCAGGTGGAGGAAGAGATGGGGGCAGGGTCTCCTGGGTGGGACTCTGGGACAGAGGACGAAGCCCAGGCAGGCGGTGGTAGCCCTACCCCAAGGCTAGAAGGTTGCACCAGTCAACCTCAATGAATGCTGCTGCTTCTTGGATGGGTTGCCGCCCCCTCTCCTTGCCTCCACCTCACACCTGAGCAGGTTGCACCCTGCCCAGTTAGGGACACAGTCTTCCTCACTGTCCTCTCTAGCGAGGTTCTAGAGTGCCCGGCCTGCCCATTCACTGGGCGGTGTGAGGTAACACACTTTTCCTCTGTCTTGGGGCTTCCCTGACCACCGTGCTGGGATACTTGAGAGTGTCCATGTGTGCCTAATGCCATGATAGAATGACTCACTTGTCAAGAAAGCCATTAATGAGAGTGTCTAACAGGGTGCACTGAGTGAGTGGGCCATTCCTGGTGAGTGACAGCAGGAGCCCCTGTTGAGAAGGCCTCAGGCACAACAAGTACCAGCAGGGGCCGTAGAGATACAGCTGGCCTTTCAGGAGGCGTAGCTCCAGCGGGGACCCCGAGCATCATAAGAAAGTGGCTCAAGCTGGGTGTCCCTGGAGCGGCTGTTACTGGGGTGGAACAGGGGTGGAACTCTGGGCAACGAAGGGGAATTTGGAAATGGATTCTCTTTATAGCAGGAACCTCCCAAGGCCACTATGTGTCTGCTACTGGCTTCACCGGGCTGGGAATGGCAAGTTGTGCCATGAGCCAAGCTTTGCCTGTTGATGCTGATGTTGGCTTCTAGCAGGCCTGACCCTGGGAGTCACCCCTCTGCTTCCTAAGGGTCTCCCTGGAGCTGCAGTCATCCCCAGGCACCAAACACAAGGCCAACGCTCGTCCAGCTTAACAGGAGCAATGTTTGCCGTGCCACCTCCTGCCGAGGGGCATGGGTAGGAGCAGCTGTCACAGGGAGAAGGGAGGCAGATTCTCCCCTCATCTACAGCCCTGGAAGGAGGGCCGGCGCCCTTGAAATGTGAAGGACTTCGCCCTGTGCCTCTGCCGTGGATATGGGCCACCATACTTTGATGACCTGCACCCCAAGAGGGTCGTGGTCATTTCGGGAACGGGGTGGGGCAGGATGGGGGGTGGCCTCAGCAAGTGGTAGAGCTGCCCGAAACAGCCTACCTACCCTCTCCCCAACAGTGCTGTCTCTGCTGATTGCAAGTGGCCCAGAGGACAGAGTTGGGCAAATCTAAGTCATTGTGTCTTTGACTAACACTTGTTGTATTTATTTGTTTGCTGGAGTGAAGTGATAGTTGGTCTCCCCAAGGTGGACAGATCCACTGTTCCTCTCCTAACCGTCTCTGTGCTCTCCTAATATGTCCACGGCTGGCCTTGGTTGCTGGTGCCTGTCAGCGATGCTCTAAGACTGGAGGCCCAGGACAGGCTGCAGTGCAGAGAGCTGGAGAAGAGGCAGTGGCGTCCTAGCTTCTGACTCCACCTCTGGAAAGGCTGGTAGGACCCTGTGACTTATGATCCGAGCGATTGCTCGCTCACTCCCTCACTCCCACCGTGTGTGTGTGTGTGTGTGTGTGTGTGTGTGTGTGTGTGTGTGTGTAGTACTACACTGAGCAGGCAGAACATCCCTGTATTGGTTTTTCCTCAAGTACTTGCTTTCCCGGGGCAGGGAGCCTACCCTGAGTCAACACTGGAGTCGTTGTCTTTGGTGCACAGTTACTGTGAAATTAACAAAGAATAGTGACTGCTTATACGTTTATAACTGGCATGGTTCAGTTGCGTGTATGTATATGTCTGATTCACTCCCTGTGTGCAGAGCCCAGGACAGGTGTAGAAGGGGTCCAGGTGCTTTCTTCTGTGTGGGCTTCCCAGGGCCAACCCAGCTACTGTTCCTGCCTGTGGTCTCACTGCTGCTCGGCCCCTGGAGGGACCACTGAGAAATGACTCCACAGGACGGGTTTTTCCTAGGTTTGGCTGGGATGTTTGCACAGCCCCGCTTGCGGCCGGCCTGCACTGTTCCTAGAAACGAACGCTGTCTTCCCATTTCACACATTCTGTTGGTCACGATGGCAGTGTAATAAAGCCAACCGCAGGTGAAGGTCGATGTGGTGATTCTCAGGGTTGGGAAAAGTGGGCTTTGCTGGGCTGGGAGTGGAGGTGGCAGACAACCTGGGGACTCAGTCCAGGAGGTGCTCATGCCCAGTGGGGTGCATGGACTGGGACAGGCCTAGTGACAGGCATCCTCATTCCCCTGATGGCTAGAGATTGGGAGAGGAGTCCCAGAGAGGCAGGGTAATGTGAGGAAGGGCAGGGTCTTGGATCTAAGATGGATTCTGTAGTCCTGGCTCTCTGTCTCCTCTGAGCCGTCCAGGCAAACCCCAAGCTGTGAGTCCTTTGCTCTCTTATCTCTCCCTCCATGTTACCTTCACACTTCTTTCAGCATAGAGCTGGACCAAAGGCCTTCTTGTTTCCTCTCACTCCGTCCTGGCCCACTGTAGTGGGTGACTGGACTCCAGGCTGATGGTTTCGGGCCTATGCCGGTTCCCCTACACCTTCCTGTGCTAGACATTGCACAGAGGTACAGATGTCCCATCCCGTGAGCCCCCCAGGCTTCATCTACTGTCTTCCCAGGCCCTCTGGTGGATGGAGCAGAACGGCCTCAGTGATACCGGCCTCGTTGTGCTTGGGCCATGTTCAGGGCAGGGCAGGAACTGTGCCTGCCACAGGGGCCCTGGCCACCCTGAGCTGGTACCGGAAGGGCCCGACAGTTCCTGGGCCAATTCCTGTGGCTTTCCCAGTTCTGGCTCCAGATGTCAGTCCTGGGATGAGGTGGCTGGCCCTCCCCTGCCCCACACTCCCCCTGCCTCCCACGAAGCCTGGACGGGAGCCACTGTCCTGCAGGAGGCCCTGTCATGTTCCCAGAGGAGCCCATGACTCAGCCCAAGCTTTCCAGTCAGGGAGGAGGAGAAGGCAGCTGTCGCCATACCAATGGAGATGAGAGGAGGGGGTCTTGAGTCCTGAGAGGGGAGGCTTCCGGGGGGGCCCCTGTGGTCTGTGGACTCCGCCCAGCTTCACAAAGCCTCCAGATCTATTCCTGGATGGCACAGGCCTCTTGGCACCTTCCCTGGAAGTACCCATCTTGACCTGTGACTTCTTGACCTGTTGGCCAGATGGTAAACTGAGGCACGTACAAAGTCTTGGCAGAACCCCAAAATGTCAGCCAATGGCCAACAAGTCTGGGACTTCCCTGCCCCACCCCTGGGAGTGTTGGGTGCCTCAGCTGTGTGGCAGAGTGAGGGACACAGACCCTGGTGGCCAGAGGCCTGGAGCCTCCATGGGACTAGCACTCAGCAGAAGAGCAGGACAGAGCTGGGGGGAGGGGGGAGTGCAGAGGAGTCCAGAATCCTGTCTAGATACTGTGGCTTCCCAGGAGCCTCTAAGTGGATCACAGAGCAAGATGCACAGGGTAAGACTTGTCTTGTGTGAGAGGAAGCGGGTGTAGGGAGGTCCTGGCCATGAGAAACAAGTGCAGCAGGGGCCAGATGCTGCCTCCCCCACTCCCTAGCCCTTGTCTCCGGGAAGCTGTGCACCGCATAACACCCACACGGTCCACCCCTGTCTGATATTCATAAACAGCACAGAGAGTTTGTATAGACAACACTGAGGAAGGAAGATGAGCAAACTGCAGTTATAATGCCACACCTGACCTTCTCGGGAGTGTGGGGGGATGGGTGCCAAGCTCTCCTATGCTTCTGCCCTGGTCTGCTATACCTACTCCCAACTCAGTCCCGTCTTCTCTGCAGAGAGCCCAGCTTGTAGAGTCTCGGTCATCACAGCCACCGCAGCATCCCCCCACCCGTCCTCGATGCCCTCTACCCTGCTTCCACATACGTCACCTCCTCTGCCTTCGCCTCCCCTGTTCTGATCTCCAGTGAGACCGAGATCCCTCCACCAGTGTCTGTGTCTGTCGCTTCCTCCACCTCTACTACTGCCTGTCAGTGCCCCGAGCTCCATGGCCTCCATCAACTCAAGCCCTGCCATGAGCCTACCACACGTACCGTCTCTGAACCGTCATCTGCCACTCTGTGATCTCTGCAACTTCCACCACGATGCCCACGCCCACGGCCACCGTCACCTCCACCACCACCTCCATTATGGTCCTCCACCACTACCATCACCTCGACTGTCCCCATCCGCATCCACCTCCACCATCACCACCACCACCGTCACCACCCCCATCCTCCTCGCTCCTCCCCCCTCCCTTCACCTCTAGTTCCACCTCCATCTCCGCCACCAGTGCTTCTGTCACCACCTCCCTCCGTGTCATCTTCAGCATCATCCGGCACCAGCGCGAGCGACCCCAGTTACATCACCTCTGTCATCACGATCAGCACGTCCACCGTCACCGTCACCCTCACCACCCCCCACTCCTCCATGACATCTGTCGTCATGCCCACAACCTCTACAGCCACCGCCAGCATCCCCTTTATGAAGGACCCCTGACTTTAGGCCAGCAGCTATGGTTAACTGTAAGCTGACAGGGTAGTTTCCACCCTACGTGGACCTTTAGTACCTGTTTTGCTCCTCTGTCCTCCATGTTTTCTCAGTGTCCCTGAATCTCCCATGGAGCAGGCCTATGCTCTTCCCTGCTGATACTTAGTAGCACTCCTGGTACATGTGTGGACACTCATGAGACTTCTATTCCCACGGGGCCTCTGGTTCTATCCCGTAAGGCTCTGTCCCGTCCCCCTGCAGCCTCTCTTCTGCCTCAGTGGTCTCATTTGCTGCACTGGAATGGGATGGAGGTGGTCCCCTGTGTGTGTTGCACAGAATGGCAGTTAACAGTCAGGGGCTGCTGTAGGTCAGAACAGCCCAGGCTGAGGACGCTGGCACCCAGCTCTGGGGCAAACAGGCCAGCCACAGCAGTGGGTGTTGACAGTAATGTGGGGATCATTGTACCTGGACTTGGCTACTCTGTGGGTTCTTTTTCCCACCCTTTATCCCTCAGGTTTCACCTCCTATCATCAGATAGCAGAGAAAGAAGGATAGAGGGGGAGAGAGAGATGTAGAACTCCTTGAATCTAATTTCTTCCTTTTTGTTTCTTCTTTGAGTTTGTAAGTACTCACAAACCAACCCCTACCTCACTACCAACAGCTACCAACAATGCCTATGGGGCTCTAGCATTTATATTCCCTCTGGGAAAAGTCCCAGAATTCCAAATGCCACACAGTAGCAGAAACTATCCACAGCTGGCAAAACCATGCCTCTGCTAGAGCACGAGGCAAATCATATCAGCTGCTACACATCACCCCACACC